CTTTAAGTAAAAAAATTCCCACTCTTTTATTTAGTGGTTGTTGGGACCACGTAGTTTCTATAAGGTGCTGAGAGGCCAAATTTGTGACTACTAGAACACTCAGTTTACCCATTTATGTATTGAAGAACATATTTGTACCTCATCTTCAACTAACTTTCCTGGATGCTATGAATGGTAGATCATTTGCGGTTAAGGACGAGATCTTCTGCTTGTTTGAGGGAGCACTTGACAACTTGGGAAGTCTCAGGCAGCAATATGGGCTTGCAAAATCAGCAAATGAGGTGATCTTGGTCATTGAGGCTTACAAGGCTCTTCGTGATCGGGCACCCTACCCTGCCAACCATGTTGTTGGTCACCTGAGTGGGAATTTTGCTTTCATTGTCTTTGACAAGTCTACCTCCTCCTTGTTTGTGGCTTCAGTATGTATTTCACACCCACCAAGTACCTTGTTGAAGATAATTCCTTTGGTTGGCTCGGTGACTGACAAAATTTGGGTTGGTAAAATGTTTGTTACAGGACCAATATGGCAAGGTTCCTCTCTATTGGGGAATCACTGCTGATGGATACGTTGCTTTTGCTGATGATGCTGACTTGCTTAAAGGTGCTTGTGGCAAGTCACTTGCGTCTTTCCCTCAAGGTGGGTCAGCTGGCTATATCCTTATATTCGTATATTTTTAGCATTGAAAAACTTGGTAAACTATTTCAGCAACTATTGATTGCATGTGACTGGCAATTCTTTTGAGACCAAATAGAACGAACATAGGATAAAGTTGTCATTGTCTACTCTATCCTTACCTTTTTTTCAGACCATTAATTTTGTACGCTTGTGCATTAATTTAGTAAAATTAACTTTGACATGATGGTAGTTAAAGATGGCACTTATTTCCTTTTACTTTACTTTCTGTATTGACGAGGTCCACTGGATTTTACAGGTTGTTTCTACTCCACCACAGTTGGAGGACTTAGAAGCTATGAGAATCCAAAGAGTAAGATCACTGCAGTTCCTGCTGAAGAGGAAGAGTTCTGGGGTGCCACATTTAAGGTATAATGGCATCTTTTCTTTCATTTTAGAAGAACCCTAAATTACAACATCAAGATGTAAAGCACAAATTGAGAAAGGAAACATTAGAATTATCTTTCTAGGCATGATTGTTTTCTTTTTTTTCGGTCACCATTTTCAAGAGTCCCATTTGACCAGCTATCAAGCAGCTCATCTCAGCCAGATATTATTAAGTCATTGAATTGAACACTGATTTTTGTCAATTTGGTGGGATGAAATTTCAGGTGGAAGGGCCAGCGGTTCTTGCAGCCACAGAGTAGAAGATGTTTCATCCCTACTTAATACTAAAATGTCAAAATCCATCCGAGGAAATTCATGTGGTTGTGGATTAAAGGCTTGAATGAGGGTCCATGTGAATACCTAAATGACTCCAGTAAAATGAACAAAGTGAAAGAAAATGCTTTGCGAGAAGTAAACCCAACTTCATTTTAGCTAGCTCTTTAATTCTCAGTACTTGTTTTTGTATCAAAAACTTTGCCCTAGCTTTTATCCCATGTAATGTACAGCTATGGTTTGTACTTTTAGTTCAATAAAAGTTTGTTTGAGGGCTTTTAGTTAATTTTCAATACAATAGTTATGGTGGTCTGTGCAAACATCACCTATTGCTTCTGGTTCTTCCAATTTCTCAAGTCCCCGAAATATTCCAATAAAAAAAAAAGGGGTGGTAAAAATAATCCAAAGCCATAAGCCGATTACAGACAGGAAAAAAGCTTATTTTATTTTATTTTGTGTATTTGATAGATTTTCTGTTGAAATAAGACAGACACCAATATTTAGAATCTCTTTTTGATATCTTCTTTCAGCAAAGAAGAAAAAAAGAAAAGAAAGGTAGATTCTGCAAAAATAAATTGTTAATGACAAACGTGACCCAAATTGTTGATAAAAGATAAAAACAACAGCTACAATCCTTTAAGAACATGCAATAAATAAACTATAATATTATTTATTCTAAAATCTATCTTTAATTTTACATCTCAAATATCATGTTATTATACAGATAATTATAGAGTAAGCCACTTTTTCCCACCCAAGGTTTTCCTCTCACCTAAAAAGTTTCAAAATATCTTTTTTTACCCAAAGTTTATATTTTGTTAATACCTAAAATACACTTTAGGTGCGTTTGGTTTAGTATTTTGGATAGGATTTTAGGGATAGTATTGGGTTATTGGATATGGGAGTATTACGAGGTAAATTTTAAAATTTTATAAAAATGCCCTTAGGTTTACTAATTTAACTAAAGACCCTAACATGTAAAATGACAAAAACACCCCCACCATCTGCAGTGTCAGATTCCGGCCACCACCGCCGGAATCTGGCCGGAAAATTTCGTTACGGCACAGACTTGTCGGATCTGTGCCGTAACACGTCGTTATGGCCTTTTCCGGCTAGATCCATGGTGGATCTGGCCGGAAAAGGCCAGATCTACGGTTTGTTTTGGCCGTCGACGGCCGGAAAAGGCCAAACGACGGCCATCTTTGGCCGTCAGCGACGGCCAAAGATGTGGCCGTCGTTTTCGGTCAACGACGGCCAAGATTTGGCCGTCGTTGACCGTCAACGACAGCCATTTCTTTGGCCGTCGCTGACGGCCAGATCTGGCCTTTTCCGGCCAGATCCGTGGTGGATCTGGCCGGAAAAGGCCACAGCGGTGAACTTCCGGCCATTTCTGGTCGGAAGTTTGGCCGTTGTACAGATTCCGGCTATCACCGACGGTGGTTGCCGGAATCTGACAAGTTGGGCTGATGGGGGTGTTTTTGTTAATTTTTAAACTTTTTTTTCAGGGGGTATTTAGTGAAATTAATAACTTTATGGGGTTAAAATGTAATTAAAAAAAATAGGGTAATATTTTGAGAATATTGTACCAAACGCTATTTGAAAAATAGGATCCAGAATAGGGATAAAAATATTAAACCAAACGCATACTTTATTTTCTCAACCGACATTCGGCAAGTTATCGGGAGCTAGGATAGAAGGGGTTGGAGGCTGTTGGATATAATGGTGGTGACCGATTGAATATTTGCCGTTCTAATCAACCGAAAACCAGCTAAGAACAAAAAACTTAGCTTTGCTGTGGATGACAATTAACAAGAAATTAGGTGCTAGAGTGAAAGGGGTTTTGTAAAGAGGAGATCGGAGGTTCAAATGGTGGTGACGGAGAGAATTTTCACTGCCGAGATCGATCAGAATCGACTTTGGATAGTAACGAAATCTTTGTTTTAAAACCCAGACCAGACCAACTGGTCGGACCGGTCTAACTGAGACACTACAACTTCTTTGGTCCAGTTCAGGTTTCAGGGGGGTTTTGTAATATTTCAAATTTATAGGGACTAATTATAATTTTCTAGGGGATGTTTTGGAGATATGTCAAAAATTTAGGGATTAATTGATAATTTTTTGGGGGTATTTTTGAAATAAACAAAAATTTTAAGGACTAATTTGAAAATTTAAGGGGTATTTTTGTAATATACTAAAATTTAAAGGATTAATAATATTTAAAAAAAAAGTTATTGCTGATGTCACCTATCCAACCGGCTAGTCCAACCGGTTGGACCGATTGACCTGTGACCTCGGCAGTAAAACGGGTTGCCCTCTAGTCTGAGTTTTAAAATAGTGAATGAAAAATTAACTTTTGGTGGAAAAGTAATATTTTAAAACATTTTGGGTAAAAAAATGTCATTAAGGCAAACTTTGGGTGGGAAAAAATAGTTTACTCGATAATTATATTAAATGATGTTAATACCATGATCCAAACGTGTTTGAAGAAGTTTTCTTTCTTCGACCTATTTTGATATTAAATAGAGAAGAAAGCAATTCTTGCTCAATTGGGGAGCTAGAAATCTCCAAGGTTCAAATAGAACCTTCTACGCAAATAATCATTATATTCATTCTAATAGAAATCTAGGAAATATATACGAGCTTACAACCATACTTCTCTACTAAATAGCAAAATACGTTTAACAACTATACACGTTCAACCCAATTAAAAAATCTTAAATACGTGACTGACTTATTCAACTAAAATAAAACTTATCTATATCCTAATATAATTTATTTAAATTATTGAGATAAACTCAATATTAATTAACAAATAAATCCATAAGAAAACTCCTAAAATACAATTTAATTAACATTTACCCATTATCAAAATGGGTATGTAACATACCACATATAATATAACATACCACATATGATGACAAATCATTTGAGATATAATATTTAATGTTAAATTTTTAGACGATTATTCGTAAACAAATTCTTCAAATGATACAAGGTGGGCTTCCTAGATACTTGGATTTCATCTAATTACCTCGCCGAAACAACGTCGAAGTTATGTAAAATTACGGTAGTCTCGACCTTTCCGTTACCCCTGATAAACCACTTTGAAATGGCTTTCATAATTGCTGTATGTGAAAGAATCTGAAATTTATTGTCTCTCAAGCTGAATTTCCAAGCTTCTTGAGAACAAAATACAGGTCTCACAAGGGAATTTTCCAGATAAATTGACAGCACTGCAGGCCAAAGATTTCCAGGAAATATTTGATAACACAACGCAAGTTTCTGCCTATGCAATTATTTGCTTTATATTTTATTCTATATAGAAGCATGGGGGTCTGCCCCAGAAGAAATCTCATTCTCCCCATGCATCAAAATCCTCTACATCATACTACATTTCTTCAAAACCGCAAAGAAGCACCAAGATTATTACTACTTAAGTTGTACATGACTTAGAAGGGTTCTGGTCCAGATGCATAATATCACCAGGTAGTCTCATTTCTGCTTCTCATTCTATCAACAGGCTGGACAAATATCCTCCAAACTGCAACAATTAAAGTGAAAGTTTAGATTCAGTGAACATATTTTCCCCACTTGGGAAATCATTCTTGCAATAAGATCATAAAGACTTGCCTTTTCCCAAGGCACTCAATGATGTCACTGGTGAGAGTTGATCTTTTCTTATGTTCAAAAGCAAGAGATGCTGCCTTCCTCACTAGAGCAGACCCAGCAATGCAACCCAACACAGTTGGATTGGTTCGACTGTAACACTCACATTTAAGTAAAAATAAACTGTTATCAACTCAGAGAGACCAAAGAAACAAAACTGCAGCAATGGTGAAGTTTAAAAGACAAAACTAAGGTTTACAACCTGATGGGAGATTTTTGTTTGGCTCGGGCCCAAGATAAAAACACAGCAACACTGGCACCAAACACAACGAAAAGAAAATGAATGTCATCAGTAAACTGAATATAAGCAATTAAGCTCTCAAAAAGCTAAATTCATGAAATAGACACATCTTTTCTATTTCACTAGTTCATCACCCTTATATCTTTCTCCATTTTCTTAAATATATTTTGAAAAGAAACTGATAAAGACTGTCATTAAAAGAAAAAAATAATCAGCAAAGAGTGAATCATGCCGTCTACTAAGCAACATTTTGTATTTATGGATACATTTGTGTGTAATGTTAAGATATTACTGAGAGCGAGCTCCCACTTCCAATTACTGAATGAAAGATCGAATAAATACAAGTTCAAAGAAGAGAAAGCTCAAAGGTGTTGATTGTTTGAGATGATATAATATATGAACCAGAACAAGATGGAACAAGCTATCCATCACACCAGAAAATAAACCCTCTGGAAATATCACATTGACAGAAAAGGGTACAATTTTAGTAAAACAAAATGGCTATTGAAGAAAGTAAATATGCAAATGAAAGAAAAGAGAAACTGACTACATCTATTAAAATTGATCTAATAATCAAAAGAACCTTTTCAGTAAACAAAAGAAGAGGCCAAAAATTAGAGACATCAATTACCTTCCCGATAGAATATCACCTTGGCCACCACAGCGCCGAGGGGAACCATATATGCTCACCGATTTGACTGCATAAATCACCAACGATTAATATCACAAGATATTTAAGGTTTTCTGAACCAAGTAGAAAGAAGCAATAATTCAAAAACCAAAAATAAAAATCAATGCATACAAAGGAGGCTAGACTTTTTATATTAAATTCAAAGAGTTGTAATCTAATCAAAATTAAATAACTTGCAGAATACTTTAAAAAATAGCCATTAATTATGCAGGCGAACAAGATTTCACTTGATCCAGATGTGGCCACATCAATGAGCTGCCACGGTATCCCACTAGGTCTCCTAAGCTTTCATGAAGATTTTCCAGGAATTGAATCAGAACAGCTAGAGTTGTAGCCCAAGTTGACCAACTCAAACATTTGGGTACTTCCAAATATTTAAAATGTCTTATCTTGTGAAAGAAACATAGCATTATATCCACTTTGTGATCTCGCTGATGCCAATTATTGATTACCTCTCACTAAAAATGGTGTAAGACAGACCTTTAACATTTGAACATGTACTTAGCAAAACACTATAGAAATTTTAATAATATAAAGATTCTAATTTAGTTGAAAACTAATTACATACCTATCTCACCATCACTAATGAGATCAGACTTTCCTTTCTGTAAGATAGTTACGCCACCAATCCTGATCAGTAAGGACACTTAGCATCAGAAAATTTCACAAGAGTATAAACCAATTCCATCACCAGAAGGAGACAATTTAAAAAGACTGCAATTAACAAGCTACTAGAGAAAAAATTTACCCCTTGACAAGAGATTGTAACTGCTCAGGAGCATCTTCATCATTTACTTCACAACCAAGGACTCTCTGAACTAGACGTTTGTATTCATTCACATTTGGAGTTAAAACAGCTAAGGGATAACTACTAACAAGATCAAGACTGTTGGTTACAAGAAAGAGTCCATCCTGGGAAATACCCGCATGGTCAGTGGCAAAGTGTCTGAGGTAAATTCCATAGAGCTAATTATATAGAGAAACAACGGAATCACCAACCATATATCTTAACCAGATCATGTCCATAAAACTTACCCCATCTATGACAATTGGAACATTTGACTGTCTTGCATGCTTCAAGATTTCACTAACACATTCCTGGACATGAGAATTATTGTACACGGACATTAGTAACAAAAATGGTATATCTGTAGATCGTAACAAAAAATATGATAAATGAAAAATAAAATGAAGAAAGAAAGATCTAAAATGTTGTTCCTGTGAATGCTTTAGGAACATGTGATAAGACTTGTTATTGGTGAAAATGGGAGAACTTTAATGAAACTTAACATTTTTTTCTTGATTGCATACTGTATACATGAGAAAGAGGAATCATGAGACTGATACCAAGATAAAGTCGGTAGCTTTTATAAACAATGCATATATGAATAAAAGTGCAATTCTATGGATAAACCTCATGCATAATCCATCAGAGAATGCAGCAAATAAACTTTAATTCATAATCAGGCAATATAAACCATATAGCTTTAGCCAATACCCAGACTCAAATTGGAAATTTGATAAGCTAGATAAAAGAAAAGCAAACCAGCAGATATGGATCCCTTCCAAGGCCTGGGCCAACGACAAGGCAATCAAATCTTTCCATCCATTTATCAACCTCAGCAAGTATCTTGCTTGAGATGTATCTTCTCTCCTCATCCCTCAATCCACTTCATTAAAAAAATAGTAACCTTCTCAGTATAACATAGATACGCACTTACAAATGTATACGTATGATAAAAAATAAAAGATTCACTACATGAATTCACCTAATGCTGTATGACTCTTCCAAAATTGGGTGCACTATCAACTCAGGGCTGTAGCTTTTTATAACTGAAGCAGCATCTTTAGTACAGAATACATGAGACAAATCTGCACCCTGGCAAGAAAAAGAGAAAACTTCCCTTACATAAACCAGCTAGTCGTTACACTATTGAAAATAACAAAGCAATTTCTGCTTACAATCCTAGCCCGAAACCAGCTAAAAGAAGAAACACTACAATAGAAAATGCAGAGCAAAGCACCAACAATTTTCAAAGCTGAAATAGCTGCAAAATACGGAGCACCAGTGTACTCACGACATCCACCAATCACAGCTATCTTCCCTGGTAAAAGAAATATAAACAAATTCAAATAATGAACCAGAGTCATCAATCATAAACCATCAAAAAATATATATAAAAATCCTAAACCGACAGAAGCATAGTGTTGTGAGCTGACCAGCCTGGCCCTTGTGTCTAGTAGGATCAAGGGTTGGAGTGATTGCTCTCAAAATGTTTTCAGAATCAGCCTCCAATGCGGCTCTACTCATGGCCCTTATTGCTTGCATTGTTTTATGATTGGTGTTAATGTGATCACGGTTACCTCCAAGAGTCCTTATCAAAAAATGTTGTCTTCTCAAAACAGAAGAGGAAACCCACATACGATTCTTTGCACTACACAGTGAAGTGAACCTAGAATTCACGCCATATTTAATTAACATGGACAAGCACTAATATTTTGGAACTCAACCTGAAAATGATTAGCAGATNGCATACTGTATACATGAGAAAAAGGAATCATGAGACTAATACCGAGATAAAGTCGGTAGCTTTTATAAACAATGCATATATGAATAAAAGTGCAATTCTATGGATAAACCTCATGCATAATCCATCTGAGAATGCAACAAATAAACTTTAATTCATAATCAAACAATATAAACCGTATAGCTTTAGCCAATACCCAGACTCAAATTGGAATTTGATAAGCTAGATAAAAGAAAAGCAAACCAGCAGATATGGATCCCTTCCAAGGCCTGGGCCAATGACAAGACAATCAAATCTTTCCATCCATTTATCAACCTCAGCAAGTATCTTGCTTGAGATGTATCTTCTCTCCTCATCGCTCAATCCACTTCATTAAAAAAATAGTAACCTTCTCAGTATAACATAGATACGCACTTACAAATGTATACGTATGATAAAAAATAAAAGATTCACTACATGAATTCACCTAATGCTGTATGACTCTTCCAAAATTGGGTGCACTATCAACTCAGGGCTGTAGCTTTTTATAACTGGAGCAGCATCTTTAGTACAGAATACATGAGACAAATCTGCACCCTGGCAAGAAAAAGAGAAAACTTCCCTTACATAAACTAGCTAGTCGTTACACTATTGAAAATAACAAAGCAATTTCTGTTTACAATCCTAGCCCAAACCAGCTAAAAGAAGAAACACTACAATAGAAAATGCAGAGCAAAGCACCAACAATTTTCAAAGCCGAAATAGCCGCAAAATACGGAGCACCAGTGTACTCACGACATCCACCAATCACAGCTATCTTCCCTGGTAAAAGATATATAAACAAATTCAAATAATGAACCAGAGTCATCAATCATAAACCATCAAAAAATATATATAAAAATCCTAAACCGACAGAAGCATAGTGTTGTGAGCTGACCAGCCTGGCCCTTGTGTCTAGTAGGATCAAGGGTTGGAGTGATTGCTCTCAAAATGTTTTCAGAATCAGCCTCCAATGCGGCTCTACTCATGGTCCTTATTGCTTGCATTGTTTTATGATTGGTGTTAATGTGATCACGGTTACCTCCAAGAGTCCTTATCATAAAATGTTGTCTTCTCAAAACAGAAGAGGAAACCCACATACGATTCTTTGCACTACACAGTGAAGTGAACCTAGAATTCACGCCATATTTAATTAACATGGACAAGAACTAATATTTTGGAACTCAACCTGAAAATGATTAGCAGATAGTTTCGAATGTCCTTCAGCAGGAAACTATCATTTAAAGAGAATAAGACTAAATACGAAAAGATATGCAATAACGTTGGAATTGTAATTTTAGCTTTTTGAAAGTAGTTTCTTTTCCTTTGGCTTCCATGAACCGAATTCAGAGTTAAATTTTGTTTTCGGAAGCAAGAAAAATACTTCTGGAACGCAATCGAAACAGCAATACAATTAGAGAAAACAACAAGTAAACTTACCTACAACGGCAAAGCGTTTTAACTTCTTGTAACTCTTATCAACAGTTAACTCGAAGGAACTAATTGGATCAGCTCACGTTTGAAGGTTTTTGAGAAGTGATGGGTAGGTCGTCTTCAGCTATCCACCGTCGGATCGTCATTCAATATTCAAAGAAAATGGAAAGCCTAACTTATACGACGTCGTTTCCCAAGAAAAGAAAATAATCCGGCAATATTTAAAATAGGAGTGAAAAATGGATTTTCTATACAATTATTAACGGCAATTGAAAGAATGTGTTTGTAGGGAGAAGAGAGAAGGGTAAGAGGAGGAGAATGAGAGAAAGGGAGAAACTGAACGCGATAAGATCAGGAATAGTTGTGATTGGATTTTTGGCTTTTGGGTATTTAAGCTTAGAGCTTGGTTTCAAGCCTTTTCTATTAAAAGCTCAGCAACTTCAAGAACAAGAACACTCTCAACAACAAAATCACTCAGCCTCAACCTCAACCCCAACCCCAACCCCAACCCCAACCCACCCCTCTTCTTAAATCCTTTATTCTATTCAACTATGTGCAACTCCAGTAAGGTAATTTTTGTTTTCCCCAATTACCTTACTTTCTCTGTGTTTTAGACTGGTTGTTTATATGAGTTTGACAATTATTGTCGGCATTTATAGCTTACTTTGTTTCTGCTTGATATTATAAAAATGTTATTACTATAATGTTTATGTGGCACTTAAATTTCTGATGAAGTTTAAATTGATGTTTGTTTGTGTGTTAATGTTTACAATGATATTGTGAGGTATAGCTAATTTCTTCTATATTGGGAAAACTCTTGCTTCTGAATGAAGTGGGTTTGTTTTTGCTTCCTCATTAGTTTACTGCTATATTTGGGTTATCTACCTGCTTAATGATTTACCAAGGTAGTTCATGAATACAGAAATGGTGACATCTATATTTTCTCAACTTGTATCTCTCAGAAATTTTGCCTCTTGACTACAATTGAAGCCAATTTATTATAATCTAATTCATGGATTAATAACACTAGTGATTTCATGATAATGTTTAAACTTTGAGCCTAAGTTAATGATAGACTTCAGTAGATTTACGCTGTTCGTCCTAATTCGGATTAATGTTCATCATCCAGCATCCTCTTGGATATTTTAGGTGGCATTTAGTATTGTATTTGGTGATTTTTGTTTTCAAAATGAATTTGAAAATGCGAATGTGCTGTTTGATTTTATATTCTCAAAATTTGAAGATGTCTTCATTACATTTTCTGAAAATAGTATATGAAAATAAAAACAATGGAAACACGTTTATTGTTATTATTATTATTATTATTATTATTATTATTATTATTATGATAAATATGAGATATTGTAATGGAGTAGAGAATAGAGACATCTTTTTCACGTTTTGTGTGTTTCCAATTTTTAGATGTACACATAATTCTTTGTTTCTCTTGTTTTCTGTTTAAAGAATGGAAATGGTAATTGAACAAGTGTTAAACATTTTTCAAGGTAAAGTAAAGCATGTAATCGGAAAAAATGCAAATGCTAAAAATAATGAACGCACCCTTACTTATTAGGTGCTTTGTCAATGAGTTATTGCTATCTAGATTAAGGCTTTCTGTAGTCTTATACTTGTATTAATTTTAGAAAGAACAGATGTGCGGTAGATGGATTTGCTAGAAACTTTGGAAGATGATAACGAAGAAATTGGAAGGAAAATTGGTGTTGAAGGATATGGGAGGCTGTGATTCAAGCTTTTTCTTAATATTGCATATGCCTTCTACTTGTGCAATGTGTATACAGACAAGATGACAAGTGTGCAACATTTTCAGGGGTCAAAAAAATAAAACTCATCAATGTGAAAGAGTATTGAAAAGAATAAAGGACGCAATTAGCAATGTTACAGAGGCAAGTCAGGAGGTAAATGTCATTTCTAAGAAAGTCCAAACGCATGCACACTCAGAGGAAGGAAATTTTGCAGAACTGCTGAGCACAGTGGTTGAAAAACACTTAAACTATAGAGTTTATGCCTTCTGTTTAGAAGATGCTGCAAGAGTGAGAGCATTCTTTGGTTACCCAGTTGAGGAGTGCCAGGATTTCTTTGAGTTTGTATTGTTCAACATGGAGCATGATGATATAAGTGAAACCTCCCTTTTGTGCTGTTGTTTAGTTATCCTTTTTTCATGACATGAAACAATGGTGTTATGATTTATCTTTAAATTTACCCGAAGTTTATGACTTTCATTCTGAATGATACTTGTAATTTCTTGCATCATTTTTTACTTTGCTCTTTGATGATCTTGGAACTCACTCCATTGGGGTTGGATTATTTCATCATCCTTTGACATGACATTAGTTTGCTTAGGGAAGGAATTGCCCTCAGATCTTTTTTCTTTTGATATTCCATTACCATACAAATATGGACTTATATAGTTTATGGTTTCTCTTCTTTTCTTAACTCCATAACTTTTTATTGTGGCTGACCGAACAGAAAAAGGTCGATTTCCCCTTTTATTTCCTCTGTTTTTAGCCACGTATATTGAAAATGAACTGTTAAAGCTTTAATTTGATAGAAAGGTGTGGTATTTTCTTAGGTGGCTTGCAAAATTGAACTTTGCCCAGCCTTTGAGTCACTTCTTCAAATTATATAAGTGCTAGCTTTCTTATGGAAAAAACTTGATAATCCAGTATAAAGTTTTTGGTTCTTCCGAAACTGCAGTGAATAAGTTTGAATTAGTTTTCTCAGGTATAGCGAATAGTTTTCATTCATAGATTGCTATAGTCAGTATAACCAGATAAGGATAGCTATCGGGGATGGCAAGAAGACTGTGTTCCGAATGCTTAAGGGGAACTTTTCTATGTATAACAAAGTGATGCCATTCTGGTTAAAGAAGGCGGGTGTTACATATTAGTGAGCCATGACCACCATATTCCAAGACACGATGCACAAAGAGATCGAGGACTATGTATGTCCACGATATAGTGGTGAAATTAGGCTCAGGGAAGGGGAGAATTACATTGCAGTACTGGATGGGGTCTTGGAGAGGTGATACAGGAGAGGAGTGAGGATGAGAGGTTTGGTCGTAGTTAGTGAAATGAATCTCCAGAACAACGTAGAAGATTGAACCCTCCGTTTGTTGCCTTCCCTTGGGAAGGTTAACAAATTGGGACTCAGCATCTAAATACACCAATCCCTTAACTATACTCCTGGCCTAGCGGCTACGTTCTACAGTTTATGTCTCTTTTCTGTCCCAGACATGTGGCATGGCAATATGGCATGTGACCTTTTTCATCTCCAATATATTCTTCTTAATTATTTCTTTACTATTTACACCGCCACCCCCCTTTTCATCCACACCTTTTCTTTCTTAATTTCATCTCTCTCCTTAATCCTTTTGTTTACAACATTTAGTCTCATCTTCACATGCATACTACCTCCCTCCTGTTTATTGATGTGATTTCTTCCCAATTTTGTAAGTTCAATAGAATGGCATGAAAGGGATATAGAACATGTAATGCTAAGTCAAAGTTAGTCAATATTTTTTTTTTTTTTTTTGGTAATCGGGAGTGTGTGGACCAGTTTATGCGTACTTCATGAACTTATCCCACAAGGCCTTGAAGTTAACGATCAGGTAAGTCTCTCAATGGCCACTCCTATTAACGTCTGTGACGACTTGAATTCAAAAGCCCATAAAACCTTCTTTTCCTCTTTTATTATCCAGTCGCTCAACCGTGGTTTTATTCAACATTCTTATTACAAGTTATACTTATCCTAAAAATAATATCCCATAATATATGTGTTAATAAAGTATGTTTTATATTATGGTTTAACATTTAATTAAACATGGGTGATCATTTGATTTTGAATTACACATCACTTTTCTTTCTAAGTTAATCTATTGTTTAATGATATAACTCTAGTTTCAACTTTAATTTATTCATGAAATTTTGTACACCATGTAAAACCAATGCTTTAAGGAGAGGCAAAAGATTTGAAGACAGTTGTAGTTCATGCATATGGTTTAATTGGATAATTGATTCGGTCCCATCCCATCAATTATATATGTCAACTCACATCCCTTAACATTTAATATAACTATCCATTATTCATTTTTGAGTGTTTTCCCATACTTTTGTAACATCTCAAATTAGGCCCCATTTAATTATTTTATCCCAACCCATTCAGTACCTTCAACTACACTTATTAATTTACTAGCTAATTTTGCTGCTAGTTATTATGTATGCAATCAAATAACACTTTATTAATTATGTAATTTGGTTCAAGTCACACACAAATATTTATTTCTATTTTGAGGATAATTGAATTGAACCATGATATTACGTGCTAAATTTAAAAAAAAAAAAAAACATCACAAACATATAATTCTGTTTTGAGTAAATGACTTTTTCCCACCCAAGGTTTGCCTTTATGACACTTTTCCACTAAAAAAGTTTCAAAATATCACTTTCTTATTCAAAGTTAATATTTCGTTACTACCTAAAGCTAATTCTAGCCGTTTCTAATGGTGAAAGTTATCTTTGTTACCACCATTTGAACTTTCGGTCTCTTTTTTACAAAACTCTTTCTCACTTCGGTATCTGATTTCTTTCCCATTGTCAGTTATCATAAAAATGGGATTTCTTATTCTTAACTGATTTTCAACTGATTCTGACAACGAATATTCAATCGATCACTATAATTCGATCCACCGATCTTCACTCTACAAAACTCTTCTTACGTTGACTCTTGGTGACCCATTAAACACGGCTAAGAAAGTGAAGTATATTTTAGATATTAACGAAAATAAATTTTAGGTAGAAAAATGGTATTGTGAGACTTTTTGAATGAGAAAATTCACTAAGGCAAACTTTGGGTGGGAAAAAGTGGTTTACTCTTCTATTTATGTTAAATTAGTTAATGATATTTTAATAATGAAAATTATACTAAAAGAATAACAAGAAAATTTCAATTTAAAACGAGTTATAAAGCAACTTCAAATTCAAAGGCTTAAAAATACTTTCATAAACATTTTTCGTTTGAATAACACGAAACCAGTGAAGTGTTTTTGTTTTTTAGTTTCAATTTGATTCACGAAAGAAATTAAAAGCAAATAATAATAATAATAATAATAATAATAATAAAAGAGGTGCTTTACAGCCGTATGATGTGTGGGGATCGTCGGTTTGAGTTGAACCACATCATATTTTCTATCCGTTACAAGCTCATAATCATTATATCTTGCCCTTTCTTTCTCTCTTTCCCCACTCCGTTGAACACAACTCAACTCTTGTCTCTTTCCCATGTTTCATGTTTCACGCCCACGGTTCCTTTGAATCCGCACGCACACGCACACATACACAATCTCT